GGTATAGTGATTCTATGTCTTCTTCCCATTTTATTTTGATGCTTTCTGCATCATTCAATATTTCACCATAAAATATATCAATTTTGCAACGAGACTCAAATTTTTTCCTGAGTTTTTCCAGTTTAACATAATGCTAAGCATGTTTTCCTTGTAGGTTTTCTAACTCTACATCTCTGCTCATTTCACTATCGTGTTTTACTTTGTCTTCTTGAGCTGCCCTTTGAAAGTTTCTTTTCAGCTCTTTGATTTCATCATTCTTTCCAGGTGTCTTAGTTACCCTAGGATGAAAAGCAAGTTTCAGAATCTCTTCTGACATCCACTTTAATTTTTCCCCCTGTGTTTTGAATGACCTTTCTTCATGAGTGATGCTCTTGATGTCCTCCCACAGCTCTTCAGATCTTGTCTCATTAAACTTCAATGCAGCAAATCCTTCTTGAGATATACTCAAACTTCAGGTGGCCATTGTAGTTTGGCTTTTGTGGACTTGTTTTAATTTTCTTCAGCTTCAACCTGAACTTCCATATGAGCAATTGATGGTCTATTGCACAGTCAGCCCCTGGTCGCATTTTAGCTCATGATATTGAGCTTCTCCTTTGTCTCTTCTCACAGGTGTAGTCAATTTGATTTCTGTGGATTCCATCTGGGGAAGTCCATGTATATAGGTTGCTGAAGAAAGTTGTTCTTGAAAAATCCTACCACTTAATCTCTGGGATTCATTTCTATCTATGGGATAATGTTGGACTTGTGGGCTTGGGCAGCACTGGGTTGGGATGTTTTCTTGATGTGCACTTAACATTTAAATAAAACTCTCTCTTATACATATGAGTTTCTGTGGATTTGTTTCTCTAAAGTACCCAGATTAACACAGGGACCTTCGATAGAAAATCTGAGCCCCACTTGGAAAGTCCAGCATCAGGATATTTGCATTTGAAAAGATGTCCACTTTAAACTTCTGAGGGAATAGGAAATTTACATTTGGAGGCAAGTCCTGAAGAAAAATATGGGATGGGAAGAGGTTGGTGGGAATGAATGACTGTGTGGATTTTTGAATTTTTTAGCAAGCAGTTTGCCTTTGGACTCATTCAGGCAGGAAAAGTCTGCGTCCATCAGTGGGAACATCCCTTTTATGACAAATAGTTAAAAGCCCTGAGCAGCCTAGGCTGCTGGGGTGACCACCTGCCTTCACTTACTGAATGGAAGTAGGGGAAGTGCAGCAATAAAAAGATATGCTGAGTTTTGATATGTTCCACTGGAACCCATTGACCTGGTTCACAGAGGTGAGGCATTACAGAGAAGAGGAAGGGCTGATTGGTTTGACGGTTAAAGAGTTGTGTGGGTACTGTGCCCCATGGGTATAACCTAGCTCCATGGGGGTAGGGCTGATATGTGCAGTGAGTGATAAAGTCATGAAGTGATTAGCCTACAAGTTTCATAGATGTGTTTAAATAGGAAAGTAAAAATGAAGTGTCTGTTGAAAGAATAAAATGATCAAAGCCCACATGGAAGAAGCACACCAGCCTGTGTGATCACAATGTATCGATAGAATCAGGTATCAGGCATCAAAGAACAAAAAATCATATCATAGTGAATGAGGGGGAGTGCGGAGTGGAGGTCCAAAGCCCATCTGTGGGCAACTGGACATCCCCTTATATAAGGGTCACAGGGAGGAGACGAGCAAGTCAGGATGCAGTATAGCACTGATGAA